CTCCGTGGCATCCCAACACTTACTCCATTCACACACAGAAGAAGGCAATGGCAACCCACTTCTGGATCATCTGCCAAGAACGTATATGAACAGGTCCCAGTCCGAGAAAAGGATGGAAGGATCCTGTTCATATGGACCTGTCGTCACACAGAACACTAAATAAAAATAAATAAAGAAAATATAACAAAGAGCACATCTAAAAGACAAATAATCTGTGACACTGTCTACTTCAGATGGCTGCAGAACTCAATGCCACTGCAGTCAGCCACTTAGAAAAGGTCAGCACGAAAGGAATAGAAGTCATGGCAATGTCAGGAACAGTCGCAATTCTCCTGCCCACCACAGCCTACATCATGAGACTCAAACCTCCGCCTGTTCGCCAGCTCATTGAAGCTGGAGTATCAGTGGCCCTTGGTTCTGATTTTAATCCCAATGCACACTGCCTAGCCATGGTAAGTCAAAGTAAGACGATTCCAACATTTCTACATTCACAAATATGAGAAAACTGCTAAATACGAGTTGATTTTCACTCAGCCAGTTTAATCCCCCGAGAACTTAAAAAAACATTTCGTAAACACAACCATATTAAATATATTTTTTTTTTAAAAAAACTTGTCCGTCTAATCACAATAAATTCTTATTAAATATTAAAATATTACAATAATTAACATTTAAAATATATCAAATGATGTTCTTTATCGAAATATTCGATTTACATTAGACCATCATTTTTTCACGATATGTTTCAGTTCGTAAAATAATATATAGAAATGGTATTTAAGTTATTATTGATTTGAATCTTTATATAATTATATACACCTGAAGATAGTTCTTTTAGGAACCGAAACATGTCGTGAAACATGAAAAATGATGGTCTAATGTAAATAGAATATTTCGATAAAGAACATCATTCGATATATTTTAAATGTTAATTATTGTAATATTTTAATATTTAATAAGAATTTATTGTGATTAGACGGACAAGTTTTTTTAAAAAAAAATATATATTTATTATATCACAATATGACGCAACTTTACCATCACAACCATATTAAATAAATCATAAGAAGGAAAGTTCTTCCGTTTTCATATTTTAATGTAAATTTAAACTCCAATGCCTAACTAAAATAATATGTATTTTTCATCGAAAGTTTAACCTTTTGACTGATGAGTAGTTTTAGTAAAGAAACCTGGTGACAGGAATAATCATACAGATCGTTCAATATGACTGTCAGAATATAGATTAAGACATAATCCACCAATAGACTGCACATACAGTAGAGAAATTAAAATAGAATTACGAATTTACAGACCAGGATACAGAGATTAAAGTTACGTCTTATGATCTATGCTCTCCAAAAGTTTCTAACGTGACAGTCAGTGAATTAACTTCATTAGGGATATTTCCAGTTCCTGCTAGTTCATCCATTATACAGTGAAACCTCTATCCATCGTTCCCGGAACTATCGTTTTATCGCATCGATCGTTCAAAAATCTTAGTCCCGGCCCACAATATTCCCGCAATGATCGTATCTGAGAAATTATAACGAAATTTACGCGATATTTTTAGAATTTAATACCGAAAGACGCACAATGTTTTTGGAATACACAGTAGCGGTAACCTGTTATGTCGCCCAACCATTCTTTTGGAATGAGGGGTGATAGTTGGAGTGAATGGCGGTGC